AAAAAAAAAAAAAAAAAAAAAAAAACAGTTACAAACACTGACTCTTGTTTTGACAATGCGGTTTAAGGATGAAAATTGACATTTATGGGATACGGTGTAGTTTTTTTTCTTTTAGAAAGCGATCGCTCAGTCGTACCTGTGACCATGTCTTTGTTCTCGCAGGCGGAGTAAAACTCCATATTCTTGGGCGAGTTGCAGCCGACCTCGAGGCGGTGATAGTCTGCGCCGGCACAGACAGGCTCGGCCTCTGCCTGCCGCCGGCTGCGCAACATGTGCGCATCCGTCGCATTCCGCACGCTGAAGGTCGACAGCCCGGTGCGGTTCGCTCGCCCTCCCCTGTCGGGAGGTGATCGCGCGGTTCTCTGGTACCGGTGACTTTGTATACTGTACTTACCGGAGTACGGACAAACTTTCGATTCAGGGTTGCTAGCTGAAAATAATGAATTTATATTTTTGTTATTAAGAAATATGTTCCAGAATAGGATATAAAGCATATAAAAGTCACTTGATATGGTAGTACTGACCAACTAGCGTGACGTATGGCGCCGTGACCGCGTTGAAGTGGTGCGGCGAGCACGCGTCGTCCGGGCGCGAGGCGGGGGCGCCGCGCTGCAGCTCCGCCAGCTGCGCGTCCCGCCGGTACAGCACCACGCACACGTACCGCGACACGCTGATAACACACACACACACGTTACACGTCACGCTGGCATGAAACGCGTGACACGGTGACAAACAGTATACGGCATTTGAGTCAGCACATTTAAGTCGCGATAGAAAAAGACCACGCAGTATGAAATCGAAATCTCAGCGACGTGCCAATTTAAATGGTGAGTGACGTGACACAACCCAGTGATGATAGCGTGTCTCACCAGTGGTGCTGCCAGTGCGCGACGAGGGCGACAGAGTTGCCGCTGGGCGAGCTGGCCTTGACGCTGACGCAGTAGACCTTGTCGTCTGCGCCGGCGCCGGTGCGGTTGGCGATGCGCAGCGTGTTGTTGCGCGAGTGGAACGTGTAGTTGGTGCTGAAGTCGAGCGTGTGCCATGTAGATGATGACGTCATCCACGCCGGGAACTGACAGCTGAAGCGCACCGACACTGGAACACAAGAAAACACTTATGAATACTTCGGTATATTGATTGTTTCTTCCCCTCATGTAAACACAGTGGTAGGATAATATAAGGAAGAGTTACATACTTCTCTCATTCATTACAAGTAGTACAAAAGAGTGTACCTCTCTTAAGCGCCATAGTTCTGGAACCTTCGGTGGCACTGAAGAGCCCGTTGCAGGTGGCGTCACCCGATTGCGCAACGCGGTACTCCACGCCGCCCGCCGCTGTTGGACTTTCCTTCATGGGAATACTGGATCCTGAATTGAGTAATAAAAT